AGTTGTAATAAGTTCACTTCACCAGTTTCCATTTCTCCATCTGGTTCCAAACACAGTGTGAGTTTTGCCAGGTGTCCCATACATTTGTGATGTGCTGTTTATGGCCATGGGTCCCAGCCCATGGAAACTCCTTGGACATTTTCCAAGTGTACTTATCACCCGAGGGATGTCACTGAGGCGTGTCGCCCCCCCTGATGGACTAGGCGGCGGAGTAAAAGGTCGAGAACTACCGGCCACAGCTGCCCCTGAAGACAGCTTGATAACTGGGCAGGATTTGCTCCCTGCAAGCCCACGTGAGATCCTGGCACTCAGCATTCCTTCCCAGGGGCTTACACATCTGTTGAAAATTCTTCTCAAATTTGGAATGCCCGCGCCCAGCTTGGTAGCCTATGGTTTTCTGGGTCTCTTCTTTGAAAAGTAGAACATCAGCCCATTTCCCATCTCAGACTGTTCCCTTTCTGTCCATGCTGTTTCAGGACCACTCCCACGGGCTTGGGACCCTCAGCTCGTATTCCTTTAATCCTGGACATGACCCTTGGGACCTGGGGACCAGCCCAGAAGTGTGATGCATCTCTGCCGGGCTTCAGTTCCCTCTCCACAGCATTGGTCTTGTCCTTCCCAGGTTGCCTGGATTCAAATTCTGTCTCTGCTCCTTACTCCCGTGTAACACCTCGGGCAAGTTCCTTATATGAAATGTGGAATAAGCGCAGGTCTGGCGTCCTGGGGTTTTGAGAAAACTAAATGGGTTAGTATGTAGAAACCCTTGTAAGTGCCGGTGCAAGTAAGCTCTCCACACAGATCCTCCAGTAACAACGTCATTTCATCATAACTCTGATGGATGCTGGAGGAACGGGTGCGTATCCATCAGCCTAAGGCGAAATCAGTTTGGGTAGGTGCCTTATTGCCATAAGTTGCAGGACCTATNGTATCCATCAGCCTAAGGCGAAATCGGTTTGGGTAGAAGCCGTATTGCTTAAAGTTGCGGGACCTACGCGTGAGGTTAAGTGAGGACCGACTGTATTGTTGCCGTAGCTCTCACTGGGGAGCGTGGAGGCAAACTGCAAGTTGCTCGGCTTTGCCTGCCAGCTCTGTCCAGCCTCCTGCACCCTCCTTCCGAGCAGCAGAGCTCTGTCACTGCTCTTGCCCTGAACGTGGATTTAAGGCCCTTGCTGGCCGCCTTCAGCTCCCTCTGTACGGTGAGCGCTCCTCCTTAATATTCATCTTTGCGTGCAAGCCTTTCTTTCCTTCTTTCGCGCACTTTCCTGTCCACGCCTGAGCCCATCAGAGAGCCACGGGGCAGCTGCTGGCGTCTCTTCTTTCTGATGGGGACAGTTCCTTTCTAAAGGCCCAGTTTCTTTCTTGGAGTCCCCTATGACTCTGTAGCCAGGTTCGTGGTCGGGGCAGCACGGCCCTGGCGGCCGAGTCTAGGTGCTGAAGCTGGAAGGCCTGGGCTCCGGGCAGTCCTGCCTCTCCCTGGCTGGGACACCTCGGAGAGTGGTTTAATTGTCCGGCCTCTATACTTCTCGGTGCGTCCAGGAGAATTAAATGAGATATTGCCTGTAGAGCTGCACGTCACACACACACACACACGAGCGGGCGATATTGTTGGCTAGTGTTTGCTGTTGCTATTTGGCTACATAGGCACCTTGACCTTCTGCTCTGAGGTTTTGGAAATCTGTCTTCTCAGTTCTCTGTAGCTAGCTTACCTCTTCCATTTCCTTCCCCAGGTTGGCAGACAGGTCACAGTCTTACTCTCACCGTTACCATCACTACTATTTCTACTGATAATAGTAATAATTTGTATTCCTAACCACGGACTAAGTGCCCACACCGTTTGGAGAGCTTTCCGTGCTGTTATCTCTTCTGATCCTCATGATGCCCTAAGAGGAGCTCAGCATTTTTTTTTAATTCTAAGGTTTCTGATGCTTCCATTTTATTTATGTTTATAAACCTAGTGTCTTCAGGGTGATAGTCACCAAATAAAATCAGTTTGAATTCCCACGTCTGGTGACTTCAGGAGGGTAGCCTCAACCCCTCCAGTCACCCTCCCAGAGTTTCTGAGACCCTCAGCATGCCGCCACCTTGATGCCTACATCACCCCCCGCCCCACGCGAACTTCAGTTCCCGTCATCCTGGGCCTGTGCAAGCCTCAGCGCTGGGAGCTTTTCACCATTTACACTTTTTATCAAAGTCAAGACCATATAATAAATTCACAAGTGGAGAAATAATACATATTTTTAAAAGGTCAATCTCACAAGTTATCAGAGAAATGCAAATTAAAACAAGTTCCATTTTTCACCTATAAAATTGGCAAAGATGCAAGTGATTAGGTATTCAATAGATGGCAAAGGAGTGGCTACAGTGGGCACTGTCACCTTCCCCTGTGAGAGGGTAAATAAATATTCATATGCAACATATAAAGGTTATACTTCACTCGTTAAGCCAGTAATTCAGTTCCTAGGAAAATATGCTAAGGGAATCACTGAAGCTGCACAAATAAATTTGTGTACAAAGATAGTCATCGCAGCATTGCTTTTAATATTAAAAAATGGTAAACGACTTAAGTGACCAACAATAGAAGACTGGTTAACTAAATTATGGGACAGCCAAATGAAAAATATTTGAACACCGTGGGAACCAAACAAGCTATAATGCTGAGTGGAGGAATTAAGAAACAAAAGCACACGCTAGGATGATCATAAATACTGTTTTGAATTGAAATAAAAGGGAGAGGCCAAAGGCCTCTGGTTAATTTTGAGTGGTTATAGATAATTTTTATTTCCCTCTTTATCATTTCTCTCTATTTTCCAAATATGCTACAAACACTATTACTTTTATAATTAGAAAAATACACATGTGTATATTTAAGTCTAATTATATATCTATGTCTATATATCTTTCTACACGTGCATATATGCATATGTTTAAGTTCTAATGCTGCTTTCTCTCCATCTTGAGAAATGAAACTGCTCTCCAGATAAACCAACTAAAGGAAATCCCAGGTGAGCACGTGCAGGGAGAGGAAACCCATCCTTCCGTCCCACACTTTCCCATCCAGAGACTCATCAACTCCGGAGGCCGGAGCTGGAAGAAAGCTCAATGCTAGATCAAGGGTTCTTGACTTCTCTTGACCCACTTCAGCTGTAGGTGAAGCCTACAGGATTTCTTTCCAGAATAACTGCTTTACATGCATAAAAGGCAACACTCAGGATTTCAAAAGAAACTGTGCATTCTTTCAGCGACAAGATTCTAGGCCATGTCCCTCAGGTTTAACACAAACCAAAGCTACCTGAGAAGGGAACTCATATAGGGTCAGACCTCCGGGCCCTCTGGCCAGTATCCATCACTGTGTGAGCTCCTCCCTCCCTCTGAATGACTTAGGCAAATTCCAACGCAGCTTTTCAGTCTTAAACCTCCCTTCCTACCAGGCCTGGGAAATGGCATCTAGAGTCTCACAGCAAATTTACAAGGTCAACATCATTGTCTCCATTTCTAAGTGAGGAGATTGCTCCCCAGAGAGGTCAGTGCAGGTGGGCAGGAAGACCCCACGTCTAATATCCCGGGGGGCTCACGTGACCTGCTCTAGCCAAGCAAAGCTCATCCAGGACTTCAGTGCAACAAACTGGGAAAGAGACAAGCTTCTCCCTCCAGGGCTGCTTAGGAGAAAGAGGCTGCCTGGGGGTACAGCCAACCCAGAAGAAATGGAATTTAGGGAAGGAAAGAAACCCCGAAAATGCAGATGTCTGTGGGGCTTTTGATCTAGTTGAGCCCGAAGCAGGTCTCTGAGTTTTCAATTACACAAGCCAATACATTACTGCTTCCTTTTTTTTTTAAGCCAGTTTGTGTTGGGTTCAATTACCTGCAACCAAGTGTCCAGATTAAGTTATGTACGGATTACCCCCATTTTCCAGATGAGAAAAACTAAGGCAGCCCAGGAGAATTACCTAACTAGCAAGTGGCCAAGCCATGATCTGAACTCTACTCTTCCTGACCTCGAAGCCTTAATCGTGACTTCATCGGAGTCCAGTGAAGGCCAGATTCGCTCCTCTTTGGAGGAGTCAGGCCCTTTGGCCAGGAGGCCCACTCGCTGTTCTTGCATGTCCTCTAGCTGTGGCTCAAAACAGACGGTTCCGAGGCTCATAGCCATGTGACCACCTACCAGCCACACCCCGAGGGGGCCTGTTCTTCCTACATACACATCTCCTCGGCTGCCCATGTGGGTTCCTTTCTTCTTAAACTTGTAGATCACGTTTCCTCTATCTTTCCTTACCTGCAGGATGGCGTGGTTTGCCCCAGGATCCGCGCAGGCACCTTTGGGGAGGTCTTGGGTGGGAACAGCTCAGCGCCCTCCCGTCGCC